AATTTTCGTTGCTTATTATAAAGTAATGCATGCTGGACTTCCTTCCACCCAGGGGGCACATGCCCTGTGGCCAAAATGCTAATAAAATAAAGTTAGGTTAAAAAAAAAATAAAGCATTGCCTGCTGAATTATTTATGTTCTCTTTCTCTTACCAGACCCTGAAAATGTTTATTTTGAAAATACCTTGCAATTCTCAAAAACTGCACTTTATATATTAAAAATGTTCATACATTTTACTTCCTTCCTAGAGAAAAAAAAAAAATGCCAAATTGCTACAATCACGTAAAGCTGTCCTACTCAAAGGGAGTCAGTTCAGACCTGAGAGCACCTGATGCCCCATGTCGTTTGGCACAGGAACCACGGCAGTCTAGTTTCTGGCCCGATCGGCGCTGACCTAATCCTGACAGCTGGTGCTTCATTAGAAGTTATAAATCAGAAACTCTACCCTTCTCTTACCCAGAGTCTGGTAAATGGCTACTTGTTTCTTGAGAAGGGGGGAAAAAATCCTAGAGCTGACATACTTTTCTGAAACTTCCTTCTTCTAAACAGCAAAGGGAGGGTATAAGAGGAAATGCCCCCTCCCCTTCTTGGCATGGCTGCGGACTCAGTGTTCCTCATATGTACTCTCTAACCCCATTGCAAAACACATTATGGAAACCAGTGCACACACTGGGTTCAGACTGTGTGATAAGCTTTTTCTTAAAAAGAAGCAAAGGGGAACTCGAGATGCCATTCATTTTATTCAGAGAAAAGCAGCGTCCTTTTTTTTTTTTTTTAATTTCTTTTCCCATCTGTAACATCTCTAACATGCTATTTTGTTATGAAGTGATAAGTTCCATTTCAAGGAAATCTGGAAAGGAGATTCCTTTCAGAATTTGGATTTTATCTCTTGGCTTTTAACTTGCTATTGGTCTTAGTTCCTGATCGTCAAAGGCTCTCAATCAGGGTGGGCATCAGAAGTGCTTGGAGAACTTTAAATAAATTACATATGCCAGCCTTAAAACCTTACATATCCTTTGAAGAAATAATCATCTGTGCTGCTGAAGTGCCTGCAGCACTTGGTCCAAGTCTCTGGGTATTAAAGAGACTACACAGAAGGAGCCGGAGCACAGCCACTGAGAGCAGATTTATTTGAAAACCTTACACGGCCAACATCATACCTGGCACCTCTTACTGATGTGACAGTGGAAACCGCCTCCTCTGCAGGGCTATGATGTTTTCCACTCAAATAGCCTGTTGATCTCACTTCTAGCAAGTCACGTCTAACTGCAGACACCCCTCATGGAGCCAAACCACCTTGCCACCCCACTGGTACAATCCCTTGTGGCCCCTCTGTGTTCGTCCTCATAAACAGCCAGTCCACAATAGTCCCTCTCTTCTGGCTAGGGCTGTTGCCAAGGAGTCTGGGCATGTGCAATGCTCAGGGTCTCCTAAGGACAGTGTCTGTGGTCATCATACTGATATCATTCGGCTGCTATCCAGCAACAGTTAACTCTCTCTGTCTCCAATCTCTGCTAGGCTAGATATCACAGAGTGAGTGGCTGCTGACACTAACCCTGCAAACAGGGACCCCCTGCACCAACCACACACCTGTGACCTAACTGGGCACGTCTCCCCTGTCCAGCTCAAATACACAGCATCTTATTTATTTCAACCATATCCTTGTCTTTCTCTTCTCAACCCTTTCACTACTGAAAAAGTCAAAACAGTAATGTTTGTAGTAGCTAAAAACTAGGAGGGGACTTCCCTGGTGGCACAGTGGATAAGAATCTGCCTGCCAATGTAGGGAACACAGGTTCAATGCCTGGTCCGGGAAGATTCCAAATGCCATGGGGCAACTAAGCCTGTGTGCCAGAACTGCTGAAGCCCACACACTCCAGAGGATATTCAACAGTCTAGACCAACAAATGAGACCATGGGAGATACATCTTGGGTCTAGTTTAAAAATGAGAGAAAGAATAATACAGAAAGAAGAGCGATGAAGTCCAGTCACTAAGAGGTTGGGACCAAGCTAGCAAAATTCAGATGGAAATGTTAAAGTGTGCTCATTTGTACTCACATATTAGTAAAAGCCACTCGCTTGTGGCTCAAATGGTAAAGAATCTGCCTGCCATGCAGGAGACCTGCATTTGATCCCTGGGTCTGAAAGATGCCCTAAAGAAAGGAATGGCTACCCACTCCTGTATTCTTGCCTGGAGAATTCCATGGACAGAGGAGCCTGGTGGTCTACAGTCCACCATGGGGTCACAAAAAGTTGGACACGACTGAGTGACTAACATTAGTAAAAGCAGGAGACATGCAGGCTATATCTTGTATTCTTATTGTTTGCTCACATGACTAGGACTTGACACTATTAGGTGCTATGGGTACCTGTGACATTACATGCCTTGGAGATCTGTGTTCCAGAAAATATTCCCAACTGAGCCCCAGTCTATGGGAAATGACCCACTCAGACATTATAACGTGGTACTCACTTGATACTTTGGCATTTCAACTGGTAATAGGAAGTTAGCAGAAAGGATCCCTTGGGCCAGTGAAGATTGGTTTAACCATATGTCAAATATAGAGCTTTTATTATTTTTTAAATTTAGAAAAAGAAAAATGAAGATCAAATTTTGGTGGCTTGGAATTAAATAGTTAAGACAGTTGGGGAGGTGGGAAGGGACAGAGTGGGAATGTGGGGTTAGCAGATGCAAACTCATATATAGTATGGTTAACACCAAGGTCCTACTGTATAGCACAAGGAGTTATATTCAATATCCTGTGATAATGGAAAAGATATGAGATGATAAGATATGATAATGGAAAAGAATATATTAAAAAAGGATGTTTATATATGTACAACTGAATCATTTTGCTGTACATCAGAAATTAATACAACATTGTAGATCACCTATACTGCAATAAATAAATATGCTGATGCACCAACAACAACCAAAGATAATTAGGCTAGTACAAGAGTATCCATTAGGTCCAAGCATTGTAGAACACCTTAGTTTCATCTAGCACAAGGTGAAAACCGTGAAAACTGGTGTGTATGCATTTCAAACTATCTGGACGGAGCAAAGAACAGAATACATTTTCTTTACTGACACTTCCTAAGTGAAGTCAAATTAGTCTGAACTCCATCCCACATCCCCATCCTATCACTTCGATGCTAAGGCAGCATATGCAATGAAACTATATTTATGCTTATGTTCAGGTTGATGTTTTATAATTTATGTTTATGAATTTACATATCAATGTTCCAGAGGATAAATGAGAATATCCCATTGATTCAAAATTCATACGATTGATTTTATTAGTAGCCTGTTAAAATGAGGATAGGAGACTATTTGAGTTCAAATTTTACACAAAAATTAAGTATACATATAATTAATATTTATAAAAATATTTTGAAAGACTGATAGTTATTTATGTGTGACTTTATTAAAGAATGGAGCTACTTTACTAGACATTAACCCTCCTAAGTTTGAGCAGAGACGAGCTCAAGAAAGAGGCTCTTCAACTAAGAAGAAGCAATTGGACAAGATGCTCTAGAGTCTTCTCCCTAGGACTGACCTCTTACTTGGTGTTCTCTTATTTTGATTCTTTTTTCAGCATTACTTCTGAATACAAGGAAAATTTCCCTTTAAAAGACCAAATCATCACTTAAAATATAAAATGCCAATAACTTATGCTCAAAAATATACATGTGCATTTAAAAAAAAATAATTTTCACTAAAAACTTACAAAGTTCACATTCACATGGAAAATACAGACTCATGAAAACTGGTCCAATGTCAAAATAGGCTTGTGTCATTAAGGAGTGTAGAAAAGTGGTCAAGGGTTTGACAATTCTCAAACCACCCCAGTTTAAGACAAAACACTCAGTTCTGGAAGGCAGGTGTGCCTGGGGAGTACCTTCTCCACAGACTCACTGGCTCCCACCATCATCTTCTCTGCCTTATCACCTGTGTTATTTTAAACATAACAGCCTCTCATCCCCCACCAAAGGACAAAGTGCAAAATATGAAGCTCAGAGTCTCAGATTTCACGGTGGCCTCCAATTCAATTCTGCTTTTCAAGCTGAGGAGCAAGAGTGACTAGAGGGATGGCTCACTCTTCCAAAAGGAAGGGGTGGTGGCTCACCCCTGAGTCGTAAGAAATGACTGTGTAGAGTTTTCCTTCCTGGTTGTAGTAGTCACCTTATTATCCCAAAGCCTTCTCCTATGACTCACTCAATTTACCCCCATTCACCCCATCAGTCAGGGAGTGATGAACAAGATGCACCCATTTCAAATGCAAAATCTTTGCCATCCAATAACCACACCATGCAAATATTGTACATCGAACACAAACACCATCACATAAAACTAAAGTGGAGGGCACTCATGACCGACCAAACAAAATATTCAGTTAACAAAATACTTTTTTAAAAAGGCCAATCAATATTTAGTTTCAACTGTTCCCTTTGGAAAAATGTGGCATATCTTGGTAATCTTCAGCATTTTGACAATTCACAATTATAAAGCAACTAAATTTAAAAAAACATATAAATCTCCAGGAAGTATCTGCAGTAGTCATATTAAGTCCTGTATCAAAAGTATCCAGACTAAAAAGTGTGTTAATCACTCAGTCGTGTCCAGACTAAACTCCTTATTTATTCATCAAAACTTAAGGTTTTGAGAGAGTTCCTAAAATACAAATGTATAACAATTTACTTAGGTAATTTTCTTGTTAAAGTAAACATTAAAGATTTAGTAGTCAATATTTAGTAAGTTTATTCATTTATCAGTACTATCAAAATCAAAAAAGGAAATGAAAAGAACTGTATAGCTATCAAAGTAGGTTTAAAAGTAACGGTATTTAGATATCTTCATTTGTAATCTTCTAACTATAATGTTAGCTCATAATATCATGAAACATGTCAACAGATAACAGAATGGGAGAAAGTTGAATTATATGTCAAACTTTTAAAAAATATTTGTATTTAAAAGAATACTTACCCATTTGCCTACCTCTAAGAGGATATATCCTGAGTTTTTCAATAATATCAACCACAATCAAGCAAGTCAGAACTAGGGAGACTGGCAGGTCAGGTAACATATCCGGTAAGATACCAGTGGAACCATTAATATTCTTTTGAACCTGTTTTCAGAAGACCATTAAGAAGCATTAAAATTTTGCACTTTCTTTGTTCATAGTTCTTTGAGGAGTCTGGAAGAAGTGCTAAACTAATTATACATACATTTGCTAAAAGATTAGAAGCATGGTTTTCAGCTTTTTAGGTGTTCAATCCCACAAAGTTTTGAACCGTTTCTAAAGATGTCATTAGGATCCATGTTAATGGAAGACAGAACTCTATCAGTTAAAGAAAGAGTTCAGTAAATGTGCATTAACATTTAAGAGTAGGTTCCTGGAATAGTGGAAAGAGGAATCTCTCCCAACCCAACAGCTAAACAGAGCCTCTGAGAGTCCTAGCTCAAAGAGGTAGGGAGACAAATATTAAAGTGTAGGGTCTTCTAAGAAGAGAGAGCTGGGTAAACCCAGCTAGGCTTTGGGGCACTTGCTTCATCAGTTTAAGGTATCCACAAAAAACCTATGGCAAATATCAAGTTAACCGCAGTACGTTAAGAGTTTTCAATACCTCTGAGGACAAGAATAAACCAAAGGTTACACCATTACCATTTCTATTCAACACTGTACTGAAGTCCTAGCCAGTATAATGAAGCGAGAGAAAGAAACAGTGTTTAAGTATTAGGAAAAAAGAGAAGCAAAATGTCATTATTCATAGACTATATGATTGTAAATAGACAAAATCTTCCCCCAAAGGATAAACTATTTTCTCATCCCCAAAACAGAAGAGTTATAAAATAAGATTTTAAAAAATGATACCTTTTGTTACAACCTCAATAAAATTCCAACTTTTCTGTGGAAAATGATAAACTGATTCTAAAATGAATATGGAGATTCCTTAAAAAACTAGGAATAAAACCACCATATGACCCAGCAATCCCACTCCTAGGCATGTACCCTGAGGAAACCAAAATTGAAAAAGACACATGTACCCCAATGTTCATTGCAGCACACAGCTAGAACATGGAAGCAGCCTAGATGTCCATCGACACATGAATGGATAAAGAAACTGTGGTACACATATACAATGGAATACTACTCAGCCATAAAAAGGAATGCTTTTGAGTCAGTTCTAATGAGGTGGATGAACCTAAAGCCTATTATATGGAGTGAAGTAAATCAGAAAGAGAAAGATAAATATTGTATACTAACATATATACATGGAATCTAGAAAGATGGTACTGATGAATTTATTTTCAGGGCAGCAATGGAGAAACACAGAGAAGAGACTTATGGACATGGAGGGGAGAGGAAGAAGGAGAGGGTGAGATGTATGGAGAGAATAACATGGAAACTTACATTACCATATGTAAAATAGATAGTCAATGGGATTGCTATATGACTCAAGGAGCTCAAACAGGGGCTCTGTAACAACCTAGAGGGATGGGATGGGGAGGAAAATGGGGAGAAGGTTCAAGAGGGAGGGGACATATGCATACCTGTGGCTGATTCACGTTGCTTTTGGCAGAAAACAAAATTCTGTAAAGCAATTATCTTTCAATTTAAAAAAAGTGGAAAAAAAGAAAATACAAAGAACAAGACAGTCTAGAAGAAAAGGAAATCAGGAAATTTTACTCTTCTGGATACAAAGAACTATTATAAACATGTAAAAATTAAGATATTGTAGTGTTGGCACAGGAATAGAAAAGTAGGCCGTGGAACAGAACAGAAAGCTCAGAATAGACTATGGACACACACATCTGATTTATTAACTACAGAGAAATGTGACAAGGACAGACATTTTAATAAATGGTGCTCAGTCTATTAGATATTATTTGGGGGAAAAAAAACAATCCATTACTGCACAACACACACAAAAATTAGTTATGGGTAGATTGTGAAGTTCAAAGAGAATTTCAAAATGTTATATAGGAGACTATCCTTGGGACTTCAAGGTTCAGATTCACAATACGACAAAATTGTTTCAAACAAGTAACCAAAAGAAAATTCAGCAAATAAAGTGACGCAGTGGACTATTTTAAAATTAAAAGCTTCTCTCCATCAAAATATACAATTAAGAACATGAAGTCACAGAATGAGAAGATGTTTGCAATACATAAAATCAATAAGAGCCTGAAATCTGAATATATAAATAATTCCTCCAAATCAATTTTTAAAAGATAAGTAACACATTAGGGAAAAAATGGAATGAAAAGTAGGCTCAATCTCATTAATTATTTGGGAAATGAAATTGAGATCTATAATGAAATTCAAGAATATTCTCACCAGAATGGTTAAAATAAAAAGGCTGACAACGCAAGTGCTACTGAGGATGGGGAACACAAAGACTGCTCATTCTCTGCTAGTGGAAGTCTAAATTATTATAATCTCTTTGAAAAACTGACACTGTTAGTTATAATTGAGTACTTGAACATCTTCTGATCCATCTATTCTACTCCTGCACATTTGACCAACCCAAATGCTTATATGTGGCAACAAGAGACACGTTGAAGGATGTTCACAGCAGCAAAAACTGGAAACTGAAATGACCATCAAGAGTATAACTGATGGGAGTTCCCTGGTAGGCAAGTGGTTAGGATTCCAGACTTTCACTGCTGCAGTCCGGGTTCAGGCTCTGGGCAGGGAACAGAGATCGCACCAGACAGGTGGCATGGCCAAAAAATAAAATAACATAGAGTAGAACTGATAGAGTGTGATATATTTGTAAAATGAAATACTATACAGGAATAAAAAATGAAAATGAATGAACTACATCTAAACAGAAAAACAAGAATAGCACACATTTTGAACAAAAGATACACAGAAAGATCATAGATAGATAACAATTTGATTTCCTTTTATAAAGCTTTCAAAAACAGATAAACTAACCTGTGATATTAGAAGTAAGGTAGAAGTGACCTTTGGGATAGAAGGAAAGGTAGCCAAAAGAGATGGCCTTTAGGGAGCTGGCGAAGTTTTATTTTTTGAACTGAGTAATGTTTCCACAGGGGCTTCCTTTGTAGTAGTAAGACTGTCTATGTTGTGTGAACTTTTCTGTTTGTGTGTTATACCTCAGTGTAAAATGAGAAAAAAGTAAAGAAAAATATGCAACAAGGGGTGAAACATAATGAGAAATTTGGCCCAAAAGGGCAAACCATAGATAGTGCATCTCTGTGATAGTAGTGTTCCTTGACAGGTCATACCCTGAATTTTTGAAGCTCGTAGGAACCTCCCAAGTGCTTTACAAAGTCACTGGTGGGGAAGGAAGAGAAAATGACAAATCAAGATTAAAATACTCGTGTGTTGCAGTTTGATGCAAAGTCCATCTCTGTAGCCTTCTGAGGTTATTCTGTGTGTTCACATATTGTCCTACTGCTGCATCTAGGACACGTTCCAAAGTCATGTAATTTCTAATGATGTCATCCATTACCCGGTATACATCTCTCTCGTCGCACTAAGCAGACCTGCTCTTACTGCCTGTTTTTTTGCTCTCCACCATCAGTTGAAAAATTAGTGAAGGCTGTGTGTGTGTGCTGTCACTTCAGTCGTGTCCAACTCTTTGCGACCCCAGGGACTATAGCCCACCAGGCTCCTCTGTCCTTCGAATTCTCCAGGCAAGAATACTGGAGTGGGTTGCCATTCCCTTCTCCAGGGAATCCACCTGACCCAGAGATCGAACCATCTCCTGAGGTTCTTGCATTGCAGGCAGATTCTTTACTGCTGAGCCACCAGGGAAGCTCACTGAAGGCCAGAGACTGTCAAATTTTCTGAGTTCTCTATCCTCAGGATCTAATTTCATGTAATATGCACTTAGTGACTATCTACTCAACATGTAAATGAAAATTTTATTAATAAATTAAAAAATTACATCTCAAGCACCTTACAAATAATAAGATTAGCAGGGCATTCTGCTTTGAACTCTCTGGTTAATAAGAGTTCTCACAGCCTGAAAGTTGTATCTATAATATTCCTGTCCTGAAGACACACATCCATCAGAGTCCCTTGGGAGCTGCCTTTGGTTGAAAGATGAATTCAAATTTCTTTTCAAATAAACATCCCATGCAAATTATTTGGCAACAGATATCTTATCAAAGGTCTTATCATGTGAGTGGTTGTTCCCTGAGATACTGTTCTACTCTCTTTACAGCCAAGAACACTCATGAAAAACATCAGGTTAGAAGAAACAAAATGTGGATCTTCTCTCAAATTCCTTGCCTTTTTATTATTTTCAAGTGACATTCCTTTTTCCCCACCCCCTTACACAAACACAGTAGATTTTTAAAAATTGGCTGCTAGACCTTCCTCCACAATCACAGAGATAACAATGATCTAAGACTGGAGAAAATCAACTTTAAGAAACTTGTTGGGCATACCATTCTGTGAAATTTTAAGGACAGGGGAACATTCTAAAATCTCAAAATCTTATAGGCAGGAGAAGAAATCAAAATTCCATACCTCAGTCACTGCTATAGAAAAGCTGAAGCTGGGAAGCGTGGTGAGTACTACACACATCATCATAACAGGTCTCCTAGCAAAGGAGAAAAAATAAGCAAAAGCAATAATGTACAAGATCAACAGTTCCTGTTACATTTTGCCAATTGTGCAGTTCCTGCACTCCTTTATAGTTTTTCTAAGAAGCCACTGCTTCCCTATTTCCATTTCCCAAATGTTTGAGTATGGCAAAGGGGAACACACAAAAAGCCAGGATGTTTTTCTAGAATAAGAGGGTGAAAGGTTTCCAAATAATTAACAAACCATCGATGGCTAAAAGTATCACAGTGCAAGACAAATGACATTCAGTACTTTCATAATTCATTCATTAGAACCCTGTCCAACACGTCAGGCTCTGGTGACCAGTTGGGAAAAAAAGAACAGCATGACTCTCTCTAGGGATACTATACCTCATGCTGCAAAACTGATCTTTCAAAAAATAAATTAGAAACCATATACCATTAGTTAAAGGTGACAAGGTGAAAATATCTGGATTTTTCTTACCTGAGGGAAAAAATTTATATATATATACATAAAAATCATATAGTTTTTCATATTTGTTTTTGGACCACCTTTTAAGCCTTGCCTGGAGAATTCCATGGACAGATCATGCGGTCACAAAGAATCGGACACAACTGAGTGACTAACACTTTAACTTTTTAAGCCTTGCACAATCAAGCAACCAAATAGTTATTGAGATATATAAATATTTTATGACAGAGAGAATTAGTACATATATTTAGCATTATCAATTTACAGGAAGATATTGCAAAATACACTCAAATTTTTCTATAATGAACTATTTACCTCCTCTCTCCTTAGTTAAATATACATTATACTAATTACATTTATAGTATAGTGTGTGTTAAAACACACAGAGTTGGAGTCTTTCAGACTCCAAGAATTATCCCTGCCATGTCCCTCTACTCCAGCCCCATCCTAGATTTTCTAGGTATAGACATAAGATAGGGTTGAGATAGCCCAACTCTCATAGCCAGACCCAGAACAACCTGCTAAAACCAGAGGTATGATGAAATTTAAAAATTGGTACCTTTGCCTCTTTCTCTGAGCCCAGAGGGAGATTCCTGAAGCCCTCAGCTCTCTGAGGCTGGCAAGGGCATTCACAGAGTCCTCTTCTCAGCTTCACCTCTAAGAGTACCTCAGGAATTACTCTGGCACCTCTTCTTTACCTGTGTTATTTCCCTTGATTATCTCAGCCAATTCCATCATTTAAACACCACCCACTCACCCGGGACTTGCAAATAGATTCTAGAATATATACAATGGCCTCTATCCTGAGATCTGGAGTTGGACACGCACCTATCTATTTGGTACCTCCACTGGATGTCTAATAGACAACTCAGGCTTAACAGGCCTGAAAAAGAACCCATACTCATTCCAGTCATCATCCAATCCTGCATGCTTTACTGCCAAAGTGCATTTCAAATCATCATTCACTAACACAGTAGCTCACTCACTATCATCTCTTATCTGCAGTACTTCGTAACCAGTTTCCTGGTAGTGTTTCTATTCTTGCCAAGCAATATTTTTCCCATAAAGCAAACATCTAATTTTGTAAATGTAAAACACACCTTACTACTCAGCTCAAAATCACCAGGGCTGGGAGTGGGGAGTTAATGTTTAATGACTATAGAGCTTCAGTTTTTCCAAACGAAGAAGCTTCTGTGGATGGATGGTAGCACACCAGTGTGGATGTACTTAATGCCCATGAGCTCTGCACTTTAAAATCATTAAGATGGTAGGTTTTATGATAGGTGCATCTTACCACAAAATATACTTATTTGTGGATTTAATAAATTTTCTAAAAATCTCCAGTGGATAAGTAATTAAAATAAAATTGAAACCTAGCACCACTGTCTACATGTTCTCCATGATATGGTTTCTCTTATTTCTTTTACTCTCTTCACTTAGAATGATCTGCCCCTTTCCCAACATACACTTGACCCCACCATACTAATAACATCTAATAACATACTAATAACATCTTGTTATTCTGTGATCATACCAACCTTGTCCCACCTTCCAGATTTACACTAGCTATTCTTTTTTGACAGGGAGTCTCTGGATGATAGACCTAGTCTGATCATAGATCTTTCGTGTCTGACTCCTGTTTGCCTGTATCCAAGGTAAGTTCCATGGGGCAAGGTGCCTTATCTAAGGTGTTCATTACTTTATCTCCAGCATTTAGAACAATATTTCCAAACCATCTTTATACAATAAACTTTCTGGGAATCTGGTAAATCCTATGGGCCCTTCTCAGAATAGAATTTTTAAGTGCATAAAATACATAGATTTATACAACAAAGTAATGAGGCTGAAAGACAGTTATCCACATTCTTTTAAAATTTTGATTTAGTAATTTACATACCTCAGAGTAGGAAACAGCAACCCACTCCAGTTTTCTTTTCTGGAAAATTCCGTGGACAGAGGAGCCTGGCAGGCTATAGTCCACGGGGCCACAAAGAGTCAGACACGACTAAGCAGCTGAGCACACAGGCAATATACACACCTAGCTAAGAACACATTGTCTTATTTTCTTTGACACACTCGTATCCGTATTGCAAAGGATGCAGGAAAGATGGGAGAGCACATTCTGGAGAAAACACTAAGGGTGTGGCTTGTGAATCCAATCAACAATCTCAGCAGAAACACTAACAGCTTGCTCTGAAGGGCGACAGAGACAGGACAAAATGAAGAAAGGCTGTGAGACTTCTAGGATACCATAGGCAGGAAATGGGCTAATACAGAGCTGCGCCGTGCCATGTGTGCATGCTCAGTCCCGTCCAGTTCCTTGAGACCCCACAGACTGTAGCCCACCAGGCTCCTCTGACCATGAGATTTCCCAGGCAAGAATACTGGAGTGGGCTGCCATTTCCTTCTCCAGGGGATCTTACCGACCCTAGGATTGAATCCACATCTCCTGCATTGGTAGGTGGATTCTTTACCACTGAGCCATCTGGTAAGCCCAATACAGAGCCCTTTGGCCGCAGAGATGTGCCATCATTAAGAAAAGGGAAGAATGACTCTGATGATGCCACAGAGGCCAGGGAAGCTGCCACTGCTACCATGGGCCCAGGGGCTCCCTCCTCAGATGCAGAAGCAGGCCTGCTGCCCGTGGCCCAGAGGGTGGAGCCCTCACCCTGATAGGTCCAGAGGACAGAGTGTCCACACACACAGGTTGGTTGTCAAGCCTTAAACCTTAGAACTGCTGGCTAAAACCAACATACAGGCAGACCTTGTTTTGCTGCATTTCACATTACTGTGCTCTGTAATAAACTGAAGGTTTGTGGTTATCACGGAGAGTACACTCAGACATTAACAAGTCAGCTACATCCCAAGGAGACATCACGAAGAGTAAAAGGTCCAGAAATCACAGGACACAGAGAATAACTGATGGGACTGGGACACTGGAGAAAACTTCTTAGCAGACTAAATGGGATGTGGCTGAAATGGCTGTGATGAGCCCATCTTCAAATATTTGAAAAGCTTCAGTATAGACACAGTGAGCTCAGACAGGAAGTCACCCTTAGAGACACAATGTGGGGAGTTGTCATCACACAAGCGACAGTTTATGAGAGCTGACGAGAGAGCTTGAAAAGCAATAAAAGGAAAACAAAAAACAAAAAAAGAGAAAAGCAATAAAAGGGGACATGTATTCGTATAGCTGAATCACTTTGCCGTACACCTGAAAATAACAGAACACTGTAAATCAACTATACTCTAATCATTTAAAAAAAAAAAAGGAAGAAAAAAATGTCATGCTACTGAGAGTGACCATTACATGCAGCTAATTAATTGCTGGTAGCCATGCCAGCATAATTTCATAACAAGGACAGTACTCTGAAATTGGTGAGTGTTGAATCACTAAAAATTGGCTGATTGATTGATTGACTGAAACCAAAATTTTCTTTTTCTTCTTCTTTTTAAAAAATCTTTTAACCCCACCATGCAGCACCTGGGATCTTAGTTCCCCAACCAGGGACTGAATACGGGCTCCCTGTGGTTACAGCATGGAGTCCAAACCATTGGACAGGGTATTTCCAGAAGCCAAACTTTTCTATGCAAATTAAAATATGCAACCTCCAAATTAATTATGCTTGACACATAAAAAAGAAAATCAATAAAAAGGGAAAATCAGGGGGCAATGGGTAGGGCTCCCAGCCATGGCCAAATTCATTGGCATCTAAGGCAGGGCATAGGATGTGACATTTACAAAGAAGACGGGAAGGAAGCTACACATGGCAGAGTTTATTTCAATACAAGGAAATTAGGAAGACTATTCTCATACTTGCTTCCCAGGTGCCACTAGTGGTAAAGAATCTGCCTGCCAATGCAGGAGATGCAAGGGATATGGGTTCAATCCTTTGGTCAGGAAGATCCTCTGGAGAAGGAAATGGCAACCTACTCTAGTATTCTTGCCTGGAAAATCCCATGGGCAGTGGAGCCTAGTGGGATACAGTCTATGGGGCCCAAACAGTTGGACATAACTGAGCGAGTGAGCACAACACAACACATTCTCATAATCAGAAACACAAAAAGTCATGAAGCTCCTTTAAAATCAGAGGCAGACTGTCTGTATTGTGACAAATGGTGTGATAGATGGACACTAAGATGTCTTCAGCTTTCAGATGATTCCAACACTGAATTCTAAAAGCAAGGGGAAGAGTAGAGTTTTAGAGGTGGCACTGAAATGCAGGCAACATTTTTCAAGAAGGTTATTACTCTGTCAACAAGGACATGGAGGGGATGAGAGGGACAGAGAGGCAAAAGGCAAGGACAGCTGTTGGTGAAGGTCTTCAGAGACCCAGGAGGTTCATAAAATGCTCTCTGTGCCTCCTTGAGCAAAAGTGACCAGAACAAGGGATCTGACCCTGGACGTGAACAGATCAAAAATTGGCGAGCCATGCCAGAGACTCAAGTGCACAGTGGCCCTGGAAATCAGTGCCTGACTGGGGTGAGGAAAAGAGTCATGAGAACAAGATGCTGAGTCGATAGAGATGAAAGAGGAAGAACTCA